AAAGGACTTGGATATGAATGTCCATCTCAGCATTATTCATAATAAATTCACAAACAGTGATAAAAATTTAAATGTCTATCAATTGATGAATGGACAAATAAAATGTGCTATCGGCACTGATGGAATACTTAAGAAGGGGCAAACTATAGGTACACACTACAGTCTGGATAAGTCTCAGAAACATCAGGCAAAGTGAGTCAGACTTGAGAGGCTACACACATATAACTTCAAAGAACACTCGAGGATCAGATTCTGATTATCTGGGTTGATGAGAGAAGGTTGATGACAGATTGGCATGAGAGAATTTGGGGAGGAATTCTGGGAATATCTACCATTGATGGTTATACAACTATATGAATTAAACCCATTGAAATATGCACTTCAGTGGGTCTTTTTTTTTTCTAATATAGGAAGGTGGGTCACTTTTATTGCAGGAAAAGTCCGCCTTAATCAAGAGATAGCTAAATTTAAAATATATCTACGCCTTGAAAATGACTATGCATAACTCCTGTGGTGGAATTTGCCAACTTTTTCTTTCCTTTACTTTGTTCAATGAGATTTTGGAAAGCTTCCACGATGATTATGGAATGTTTGTATAGCAAGAGAGAAAAACAACAATAAAATGCTATAAACGTAAATAATTATGTGATCCCACAAGGAATCTACTGTTGATTCAACATTGTTTGCTTGTAATGCAGCCCATTTGGGTCACCACTTTCTCATCTATCTTTCCTCAGTGGCACTTCTGGAGGGTGAGCCGAGGAACTGGATGTAAGAAGGTCCAGAGCTTAATAGCCATGCTTTGTCCCTCCAGTTTGGTTGGGTTTGGCTGGCGACTTGATTTGTGGATGAATGCACAGTAGGCTAATGATAGGGGGCTCTCATGCTCCTTGGCCAACTCTGCCCTCTATTCCAACCCAAATCAAGTCATGCGTCCGCCAGGCCTCAAGGGAAAGTCCTCTGCCTAGGGCTGGGCAGATTGTGGTTTGAGGGGTCCCAGCCAGGCGCCTGCCTCCAGCTCCCATGGATCGCTTGAGAGCTGCGTGGTCCTGGTGGAGTCAAGAGGCCATTCATCAGTGGAGACCCGCCATTAGAACGAGCGCTCACGCTCCACATGGTGGAATGGGACACGGAGTCCCTCCAGTTGGCCCTCTGGGGCAAGGGTGCTCAGTGTCAACAGTGCTCTGGCCTTTTCCCCTATCACACATCCAATTCATCTCCAAGCTTCCCGCCTGAGACCCAAGCTTCACCTTAGGAGACCTGGACAGCCGGGCAGGCAGCAAGGCTGGGCCGTCGGAAGAAGCCCACGTTGCTTATCCTCAGATGCCTTGGGGTGACTGTACAAGGCCTTCATAGGGCGCAGAGGTCAGAACACAGGCTCCATTGAAGATATAAAGCTACACTAATAAAAGTGACCTTCGAAGCTAGCATCTCATGGAGGGAGCATACAATTCCTCGTCACCCTCATCGGGAAGGAAAGCCCTGCAAAAATTCAGGGGGCACTTGGGAAGGAACAGGGAAATTGGACGAGCCACAGCTTTCTGGTTTGTCAGCCCCAAGTGCTAAGTTGAGGAAGATCTGGATTTCCCAGAGACATTATTTTCAGGAAATGCTTCCAACATCTTAAAACTGCACACCATAGTCCTAACTGTCCGATATCTTTTTTTTTAATCCAATATCTTAAAACTGCACACATTCTTTCTAAAATGAAGACTCGGGGGCCAGAGAGACAGTACAGAGGGTAGGGCACTTGTCTTGTACACAGTCAACTTGAGTTTGATCCCCGACATCCCATATGGTCCCCCACGGACAGCCAGGAGTGATTCCTGAGTGCAGAGCCCGGAGTAACTGAGCACTGCCAGGTATGAACTAAAAACCAAAATACAATAAAATACCCAAACAGTCATCAGTGGGTGAATGGATAAACAAAATATGCATAGACAGACAATGGAAGATTGATCAGTTTTATAAAAAGGAGGGGAATTCTGACTCCGACTACAACAGGAATGAACCTTAAAGGCACGATGCTTAGGGAAATGGGCCAGGTACAAAATGCAAATAGAATATGAGGGCTCTGGTGTGAGGTACCAAGAGTTGGAAAAGTTTTTTTGGAAAAAAAATAGAAAATATATAAAAATAGAATGGTGGTTACCTCCAGGAGGAACCTGGAATTATTGTTAAGTGGGTTGAGAGTTGCAGTTTGATATGTTTAAAAAAAAAATCGGAAATCAATAGTAGTTACACAGCGTGAATGAACTTTATACCTCTGAACTGGACACTTGAAAATAGTTGCTATGTTAAATCTTGTGCTCTAGGGGCTGGAGCAATAGCACAGTGGGTAGGGCGTTTGCCTTGCACACCGCCGACCTAGGTTCGATTCCCAGCATCCCATAAGGTCCCCTGAGCACCGCCAGGAGTAATTCTGAGTGCAAAGCCAGGAGTAACTCCTGTGCATCGCCGGGTGTGACCCAAAAAGAAAAAAAAAATCTTGTGCTCTACATTTTTTAATACATGCTCTCTCTCTCTCTCTCTCTCTCTCTCTCTCTCTCTCTCTCTCTCTCAAACACATGCACACACACACACTTCACATGTAACACACCCGTTCAGGAAATCATTAAGCCATATCTGTTACCATTTAGACCAAATTTCTGAATGATCAGGCAATACCTTTGATTGTTTTGGGTGGCTGGGAGGCACCTGGTGGTGCTCAGGGGGCCATATGTGGTGCCCAGAAAGTCATTCTGGGAACAGGTTCCAATGCCTTATCTCCTGCATGATATCTCCAACCCCTGACTGGTGTTTTAAAAAGAAATAAAACCAGAAACCAGAGAGATAGTACAGTGGGTGGGACACTTGCCTTCCATGCAGACACCAACCTGGGTTTCACCTCTGGCATCCCATATCATCTCTCAAGCCAGCCAGGAGTGATTCCTGACTGTAAAGCCAGGAGTTACCCCTAGCATTGCCACGTATGGCCAAAAACCAAAAAACAAAACAAAAAAAGAAAGAAAGAAAGAAAACTATGGTAAGATAGAGAGTTACAACCTAGAGCAGTTTCATGTTTGCTCTGCAGGCTCAATCTTTCAAAGCCTGTCTTGTTTTGGAGGAAACTAGGTATGGGGGTTTTGGTGGGAAGGTTGGCTTGAATGAATGAATGCCTGCTCAAGAGGGTGTGATTTGGGGGTTGGGGAGCATGAAAGGAAAAACACTTCCTAGGAGAGAAGTCCAAATGGCATCTCCAGCTTACAGTCCATCACGGGGCACTCTCCAGGCGTCTGAAACGACCTGTTCTTGGAACTCATTATAGAACCTGGAATCAGAATTCTTCGCAGCGGGAAGCCAGGAACGCTCTGAGACCGTGGCACTGATGGAACTGTTGTGATGGCACCCACCCTGGTACTGGCTATGGAGGGGGACACGGGCATGTAGGCCCTCTCCTGAGCCCCTCTGTCCCCCCACACAGACCCAGCTGGGGCCGTGATGGATCTTGGCACTTGACGTGGATCACAGATGTCGTACTCAAACATCCTCCATGTCAGCGGGATATTACAAGAGTAAACACAATAGACTCATTTCTCACGCAGACCAAGAGTGTGACATCCTGGAGCCAAGAGCTTTCTGGTTTACCAGCAGCCCAAAGACCTTGATGGAAATTTCCAGCTCCTTTCCATGTTACACCCTCCTCAGCCTCCTTGAAGGGGTGGGGACACACAACATGGGAAAACGTCAGAGGAGACATTTTAATTCACACCGGGCCCTTCTGTGGCCTGTGACCCCGACCGCAAGACTGAAATGGTAACAGTGTCTACGACTTCATTTCCCACTTCTACCTCATGGAGAGAAATCAAAGGACACAGTGTTTGGACAATGAACTGCATGAGCGCTCGGGAATTTCCCTGCACCCAGCATCTGCATGGATGGAACAGGGTTAAGTCATTGTGCGGGGTACCAATCCAGCCTCAAAAGTCGCAGCCTTGGCCAACTCCTGCAAACGCTTTGTTCCCCGCTTCTGAAAGTGGTCGCAACGCTGTTTTCTTTAGAAATGGCAGGAAAGGGTCTGGACATGGAGGGGGCTCTGTTCTTCGTCTGCAGGGAGGAAGCCTCCTTCCTGTGAGGTGACTGCAGGGGTGCTGGGTGAGAGCTGGCGGGTTGCAGGGCCTAGCTCCTTCTGTGGGCCCAACCCTTCTTAGGGCATTTCTGTGCCCAGGAAGGTTTGGTGAGCCCCAGCTCCCCACGCCCTCCTAAGGGGACAGGAAGAAAGGCCAGGGGAGGCTTTGCACCTGCTCCTCCAGCGTGCAGAAAGTGCGGGTCTAGAGGCGGAGCCGGGCAGAGGCTTCCCCTGCCTCCTGCCCTGGAGTGGACACGCCGGACTCTTGGCAGTGGCTCCCTGCTCCCTGATAGTTGGTAGGTTCCTGCCTGGGCTCGATGAGCTCCTCTTCCTCTCCTGCCTCTGGCTTCAGGCGCCCAGCACGGCCTGGAGCTGCGCCTGAAACTGACTCGGTTCCCAGGAATCCTGGGCAGTGGTTCGGTCCCACACACTGCTGGGGTGTGGTCCTTTGGGGAGAAAAGAATGACCCCTCCTGGGACAAACAAGAGAAGCCTGTGCAGCCGGGGCAGGAGGGACCAGCCCTGCTGTCCTAGGAAGGGGGGGCTCCAGGAGACCCCTCCATGCCCCCACTACGGCCTGGACCCAAAGTGCCGGGTGGACAGGCCAGTCCGGCTCTGCTGCCTAGTTCGGATCTGCGCTTCACTGCGCGCTCCGGGGGGACGGAGGGGGCTGGTGAAATCCTGACTGTCTCGGGTTAAGACTCCTGCGGCAGCGCCCGGCGCCAGCGGGAGGGGAGAGGGAGGCCCCTCCGGGGGCTCCTCCTGGGCGTCCTGCGGGTGACGTGCGTGGCCGCCGCCCGCGCACAAGGGACCGGGGGCGACAGCGCGTTGCCCTGCGCGGAGACGGCGCGCACAGCCGCGCTGCGGCCCCACGGGAGCGCCCCGGGCCCCGCTCAGGTGCCCCAGGCGGGGACGGAGAGGGGCAGGCGCGGGCAGCCCGGGCCGTCGCCCGCGGCCGGGCCGTGGTGGGCCACGCGGCCGTGGCGCAGCGCCAGGAGGCCGGGCCGGGGCGCGCGCGCGCGGGGCCCCGAGTCGGCGCGCGGGGCCGGGTCGCCGGGCGGCGGCGGCGGCGGCGGGGGGCCCCGGGCGGGCTGCGAGTAGGCGTCCCGGGGGCGCGGGCGCGGGCAGAGGCGCGCCTGGAAGCCGCGGCGAAAGTTCTCGTTGAAGTAGCCGTAGATGATGGGGTTGGCGCTGCTGTTGCAGAAGGCCAGCCAGTGCGCCAGCGGGAAGGCGTAGGCGGTGACCAGGCGCAGCTGCGGCTCGCTGAGCTGCCCGTAGTCGGTGAGCAGCAGCAGCGCCCAGAGCGGCAGCCAGGACAGCGTGAAGACCAGCGCCACGACCACCAGCATCTGCACGACGCGCGCGCGCCGCCGCGCCCCGCGCCCGCCCTCGCCGGCCCGCGCGGGCCCCGCCGCCTGCAGCAGCTTGCGGGCCACGCGCGCGTACAGCAGCGCCAGCAGCGCCAGCGGTGCCAGGTAGACGTGCGAGAAGAGCACCGTGGTGTAGGCGCGCCGCATGCCCTGCGCGGGCCACGCCTCCCAGCACGCGTACAGCGGGTACGAGCGGTTGCGCGCGTCCAGCAGCAGGTGGTGCTCCTCGCGGGTGACGGTCAGCGTCGCGGCCGACGGGCACATGATGAGCAGCGCCGCCGCCCAGATGCCCGCGATGGTGACCAGCGCCTGGCGCGGGGTCAGCTTCTCGCGGAACGGGTGCACGATGCAGCGGAACCTGCGGGAGAGGGAGGGGCGGGGGCGCGGGGCTGGGCTCGGGCCTGGGGCTCCCGGCGCTCTCCGCCGCGGCCCGGCCACTGGCAGCGCCCGAGGCCGCCGCGGACACCTCTCGGGCTGGGCTAGCTAGCCAGCGAGCGAGCTGGTCTCTGCGCGCATCAGCCGCGCGCGCTGCGCCTGCCCGGCCTGGGCCCCTTCGGTCGGTGGAGGAATGAAAGCGTGACCGTCTAGGGCTTCTGCAGAGACCTCGGGACATCCCCCGGGAGCCCTTGATGACCACAGACCGTGTCTGTGTCATCTTGGCCTCGACACCTTCCGGCGACCCTGTCTGAAGTCAGGTCTGCTCCCGTTTCCGGACAAGAACATCCCGGCAGAGATGATCAGTTGCCTTTTGATTTCCAGACGGGAAAAGGAGAATTTAGAGCGGAAAGCCACTGACAAGGCCACCCGGCTCGGAGAGCCAGGCCCAGCCTGGAACCCAGCTTTCCTTTGAGCGGGCATTTCCTGGGACCCTTGAGGAACCCAACTTGCATGAAAATACAGGCTCCTTGGAGTGAGCTCAGGCCTTTGTTCCTTCCCGGTATCAGGTTTCTTCCCGTCCTCCAGCCTGCTTCCCTCCTGCTGGGGCCCATCTGACATCACCTTCTCTCACCGCGGGTCCCAAGACTGCTTGTCCCAACGTGTGTGGCTTTCATCTCATGGCCCTGGATACTTCAGATTGTCAGAGAGCCAGAGCCATAACACAGTGGCTGACCTGGGTTTGATTCTGGGCATCCCATATGGTCCCCCAAGCACTGCCAGGAGTGACCCCTGAGCAGGGCTTGGTGTTGCTCCCCCCCCAAAGACTCTAGAAGCCCCCACACCGAACCTCTTGAAGGTGCCCTGGTGTCCCCTGCACACCCTCTCCCCGAAACTACAGGAGAGCCAGCCCCCTCCCCACCTTTATGGCTCCGAATTCAGCCCCACAGACCAGAGCAGCCCCAGCCCTCCAGCCTTCCCGCCCCATGTGCCCGGACCCCCCGCCGGACCCCCTCACCTTTCCACAGCAATGGCCACCAGTGTGAAGACAGAAGCCGACACGGACATGCCCTGCACCAGGCCACTCAGTTTGCACGTGGCATTGTCGAAGGGCCACCCTGCAATGACAGAGACCAGCACCGTGTGACACACACCTTACCAGCAGACCCCCCACCGCCTGCACACTGTTCCAGGAATGAAGAAATGATCATGATAACGTCTTATCATCCTGTCTCCTAGAGGCTGGGGTGTGGGTGGAGGGTGCAGGACCCAGCAGTGCTCCGGTCTTACTCCTGGCTCTGAACTCAGGGATCACTCCTGGCTGTGCTGGGGTATCGGATGCTGGAAATCAAATCTAGGTTGGTCACATGCCAGGCAAATGCCCTACCTGCTGCTCGATCTCCCTGGTTCCTCCTGGGGGCATTTTGCCAAGGACTCATAGACTAAATGCAATTTTAAGAGATTAGCAGTCAGACCAAAGTTACAGCGCGTTCTTCAGAATAACTGATCCTTTACCTTTCAGACACATCAAAGTCACGTTTGAAGTCAAGAAAGACCAACGAGGGGCTGGAGAGATAGCACAGCGGGTAGGGCGTTTGCCTTGCACGCGGCCGACCCGGGTTCGATTCCCAGAATCCCATAGGGTCCCATGAGCACCACCAGGAGCTTCTCCTGAGTGCAGAGCCAGGAGTAAACCCCGTGCGTTGCCGGGTGTGACCCAAAAAGCAAAAAAGAAAAAAAAAAAGACCAAGGAAAACTCACAACCACAAGAAACTAGTTAAATGTGATGTCTGCATAGGCCTGGGTTTAGTGTTGGACTAGAAAAGGACATCTGTGGGAATATGGGTAAAATTCAACTAAAACCTGCCATTAGTAAGCAGTGTGGAGGTATTACTCCTAATCTCCTGATTTCAACCTTTTCCTGGTATCCTGTTTCTAACCTCAGTAAGTGAAAACATCATAGGAATGCTCTGTATCCTACTTTTTCAGCTTTTCAGTATGTCTAAAATGATTTCAAAATAAAAAGTAAAAGAAAATCAATCAAAGCCAAACAAAACCTCTCCAGAGTCAAAAGACCACATACTGCATAATTCCACTTACATTATTTTATTCTTGCAAAGGGAAAATGGTATTTTCTGCTCTGTGGAAACCAGATCAGTGGTGTTCAGATAAAGAGCAGGGCCGACTACAGAGGACCAGGGAGAGAGGCAAGGATGCAGGGAATGGCGTTGTTCTCTGTCTGGAGTGTGGTGGTAGCTATGTGACTTTGGATGTCTATCAAAAGCTCCCGGACGAGAACAGTGCAGTCTTCTGCCCCTGCGCCTGGCTGTTCCTCGCTGGGGCCCCTTGGAGGGGAGCGGGTTGAGCTTTCCTCCCCGCCCCGACCAGGGTTCTGGCAGCCGAAGACCTCCAGGACCAGCCACCACCATGCTGAGACCACTCTCCGCACACATGAAGGTACTGGCAGAGGGACAAATCCACGCGGGTTCCGGGGCCGAGATCTCCAAGCCTACTCGGATTGGAGTCGAGCATCCTCCACCCAGATCCTCCAAATTCCAGTAGGCGGGGGTCACACCCACCACCTGGCCCCCTGGCGCCGTGTAATCCCATCAACGGCCAAGACTCAGAGACTATAAAATCCAGCTCCCGGAACCGCGTGGCCGCGAATCATCTTATCAGGACATCTTTTTATGACATCTTATCATCTCATTCCTACTTTGGACAAACTGGCAGGCTACCGAATGTAGCCTGCCCACATGGCAGAGTCTGGCAAACTCCCCTTGGCGTACCCAATATGCCAAATACCAGTAACAATGATGGGTCTCATTCTCCTAAAGGGCCTTGAATATAATCTCAGGGCTAGGATGAAAGAGACGTTACTGGGGCCTGCTCGAGGCAATCAACGAATAACAGGATGATGAAATGAAAAAAATGAAAAATCAAAATGTGTAGAATCATATACTTTATTATTTTTTTTTGTTTTTTGCTTTTTGGGGTCACACCTGGCGATGCTCAGGGGTTACTCCTGGCTTTGCACTCAGAAATCACTCCTGACAGTGCTCAGTGGACCATATGGGATGCTGGGAATCGAACCCCGGTCGGCTGCGTGCAAGGCAAACGCCCTACCCGCTGTGCTATCACTCCAGCCCCAATCATATACTTTAAAAGGTGAGATATTTGGGGGGCTGGAGAGATAGTAGAGTGGACAGGGCACTTGCCTTGCATGTGGCCAACCTGAGTTTGATCCCTGGTACCCAATATGGTCCCCTGAGCCCTACCAGAAGTGATTCTGATTGCAGAGCCCAGGAGTAACTCCTGAGCAAAGCCGGGTGTTGCCCCAAAACCAAACTTCCAAAAACAATTTTTTTTAAAAAGGCGGGATATTTTGTATGTCAATTGTACCCTAACAAAAAAATTCTAAATATAAAGCAGGAAGTTGTTTACAATGAACATTTTGTAAGAATTCATACTAACAAATGGCATATGTGATGTTGAACAGAATGTCTGCCTGTGGGGTGGGAAAAGGGGTTTGGCATGGGGTTGAAATCCAGAAGGGAATGAATTTAAAAAAAAAAGAGAGAAAAGAAAAGGAAGTCCTCAAAACAGACTGAGGAAAAGCACACAGCACCATGAAGAATGGGAGTAATTCCACTTTCTATTCCTGGATCCAAAGAAGAGAAATGAGAGAGATAAGAAAAACCACATAAAATTAATTTTATGGCAGAAGTGTCTGCTGGACACAAATTTAATACCATCAAAAAGAGACTGGTTAGGGGCTGGAGCAATAGCACAGCGGGTAGGGCGTTTGCCTTGCACGCAGCCAACCCGGGTTTGATTCCCAGCATCCCATATGGTCCCTCAAGCACCGCCAGGAGTAATTCCCGAGTGCAGAGCCAGGAGTAATCCCTGAGCATCGCCGAGTGTGACCCAAAAAACAAACAAAAAAAAAAGAGACTGGCTGGAGCGATAGCACAGCGGGTAGGGCGTTTGCCTTGCACACAGCCAACATGGCCGAGCCGAGTTCGATTCCTCCGCCCCTCTCGGAGAGCCCGGCAAGCTACCGAGAGTATTCGATATGCCAGACACAGTAACAACAAAGTCTCCAATGGAGACGTTACTGGGCCCGCTCGAGCAAATCGATGATCAACGGGAGGGCCTTCACTTTACTTTACTTTACTTCAATGAATAGTAATATATCCTTACAGTGAAATTCTAAGCAGTTATCAGAACAATTAAAAACTTGTATTTATTAATACAAAATAACTTCAGGTAAATCAGTTTTAATCAGTATGATTTACAACACTCACACTATAGTTTAAGGAGAAAAATAAAGGTGCAGATTGGACTGTTTAGAAATTTAGCATTTCCATAATTTGCTTGTACTATATAGGCTATTTTTCTAAAGAGGCACAGGAAACTGGTAACACTGGTTGCCTCCCAGGAGAGAAACTAGGAGACCTGAGGACCGGGAGAGAAGGGAGATTGTGTGCTAAACATTTTATGGTAGCTTTTTTTTTTTCTTTTTGGGTCACGCCCAGCATTGTACAGGGGTTCCTCCTGGCTCTGCACTCAGGATTACTCCTGGTGGTGCTCGGGGGACCATATGGGATGCTGGGGATCGAACCCGGGTCAGCCATGTGCAAGGCAAACTCCCTACCCACTGTGCTATTGCTCCAGCCCCCTAATGGTAGCTTTTAACTACCATGTGACTTCATTATCTGTTCAAACACTTTGAAATGTTTAGGCATGTGAAAAGGACTGGCATGTTCTATTGTTTCCAATTAGTGACCTGGCCATGTCATCAACTGTATGCAGGCATGTATCAGCGTGTGTGTGTGTGTGTGTGTGTGTGTGTGTGTGTTGTGTGTAAGGAAGGACCCAGGAATCAGTAGTAAGGAAAGGCCACACACGCAGAGCCAGTATAGAGAATGGACGCTCACCAGCTCCATTTGCAGGCTCCTGGAACCTGTAGAAACTTGGACTTGGGCTGGAGCAATAGTTCAATAAATAGGAAGGGCGTTTGCCTTGCACGTGGCCAACCCAGGTTCGATCCTCAGTACCTCATGTGGTCCCCCGAGCACTGCCAGGAGTAATTCCTGAGTGCAGAGTCAGGAGTGACCCCTGAGCACTGCCCAGTGTGGCCCTCAAACTAAACGCAACTAAACTAAAGCATCATGGACAGCTCAGCCCTGCCGAGCTCTCCCTTCCCAGAATCTTGGGAGCTCTGAGCTCAGAGCCTGCAGGTTCAGACCTCTAGGGGTCTCCACAGCTCTGGAAACCAGCATCTCACCGCCAGCCCGCAGAGTCTGTGGCGCCTGACTCAGGAGAGGACTCTTACGAAATACAGCAGCTGCTGGGAACCCTCCCAGATCTGCAGCGGCACCGTCCAGGCAGGAATGTGTAGAGACCCAGTGGGTTAGTTCTGCTCACACCTCCAGTCAGCTCCTATCTATCGAGGGACTTGGACAATACTGGAAATTGACCACTTCCGCTTCTCAGGAAAACAGCAACATTACAAGGATCTGTAAGGTCCTTGTTGGGAACAAGCCTCCCTCCCTCTCTCACTACTTTCCATTGGTTCTCACTGTGTCGGGGAGCTGCGGGGGAGAGAGACTGAACAGCTGGGGGTGGGAGGGGCGTGGAAACTCGGGATAAGGATGTGGGACCTGACTCTTGGCTGTCTGACATCACCGTCACCAAGCTGAGCACCTTCACTTACCCACGGGACAACAACGCACGCTCCTTTACCTGGGCGAGGATGACGGAGAACATGGTGAGGAGGGTCAGAGAGAGGTATGCCTCAGCAGCGGCGGCCTACATCGGAGTCCTAGGTTTTGTCACTGGCCTCTCATGGTTCCTCAAGACTCCCACCCCACCGCCCCAAGACCCTGGGCCAAACAGCACTGAGTGTAAATACTAAATCTTCAAGCCTGCACAACCAGGCTGAAAGTTGCCAGGGGCACCCAGTTCCTATGAACGGGGCCTAGGAAACACCCCCACACGTCCATCTTTCTATTTATCTGGGAGGACACACCTGGCGATGCTCAGGGGTTACTCCCGGCTCTGCACCAAGGGGCCACTTCTGGTGGGGCTCGGGGGACCATATGTGGTGCCGGATATCAAACATGGGTCTGCCACAAGCAGGACAAGCACCTGAGGGGGTCGGAGGGATAGCACAGCGGGTCGGGCGTTTGCCTTGCACGAAGCCAACCTGGATTCGATTCCCAGCATCCCACATAGTCCCAGGAGCACCTCCAGGGGTAATTCCTGAGTGTACGAGTATGAGCCAGGAGTCACCCCCTGAGCATCTCCGGGTGTGAACCAAAAAGCAAAAAAAAAAAGGGGGGCTGGAGTGATAGCACAGCGGGTAGGGTGTTTGCCTTGCACGCGGCCCGAACCGGGTTCGATCCCCAGCATCCCATATGGTCCCCTGAGCACAGCCAGGAGTAGTTCCTGAGTGCATGAACCAGGAGTAACCCCTGAGCATCGCCAGGTGTGACCCAAAAAAAAAAGCTAAAAAAAAAAAGCAAACATCTGAACCCCCATGTTATCTCTCAGCCCCCATTTAGAAAATAAAATCAAATAAGATGAAGACGAAAAATGCCCGGAAAAAAAAAAAAACGTGTGACACCCTGCCTGCATAAACAAGAAAAAAAGGCAGGGGAGCCAAGCCCCCCGGCTGCGGGGAGCGAGGGGACGCTCACCGGTGATGAGGTTGTCCACGAGCGTGGTGGGCATGCAGAAGATGCCCACCAGCAGGTCGCTGACCGCCAGGTTGAGGATGAACATGTTGGTGACCGTGCGCATGTGGCGGTTCCTGAGCACGACACAGCAGACCAGCGTGTTGCCCACCATGCAGAGCAGGAAGATGAGCGCGTAGGCTGTGACGAGCGTGGCGGCCACCGGGAAGGAGTGCTGGAAGTAGGAGGAGAAGGTGAGGTTGGCCGCCAGCCCGGCCTCATCGCTGCTCTCCTCCCAGTCGCCCTCGGGGGTCTGCGAGGGTCCTGCAAGAAGCAGAGGAGCCCAGGGATCAGGATTCCAGGCAGAGCAGGAAGGACTGACTTTCAGCCCCGGGCAGCAAGTTCTCACCCAAACCTACTGCCCAGTTGCCACCGGAGTTGCGAATCTCTAAGGCTCTGGCCCACAGTGCTCACACCCCGTCTCATTTGTGCATCCTGCCCTGTCCAGGCCGCCGCTCCCTTCCAGTGTCGCCTGTCTCCAAGGGTCCCCAGTTCCCCTCTCCATCCCAGCCTGAGCCCACCCTCTGGGGCCTGCCCTGCCCCAGGCATCACCTTTCAGGAGGATACTGAAACCTGCCTGGGTCCAGTCTGTGTATTTGGCCCTGAAGGAATCAGGCGGCAGGGACCAGAGTAGTGACCCTCTCGCCTCTCCCTGCTGGGTCTAGCTCTCCCTCAGGGGCATCTTCATGAGCGCAGCTCCTTTATTTTTATTTATTTTTTTTTACTTTGGGACCACGTACTCAGCTGTGCTTCAGGACGACTGCTCTGAGGACCCCAGGTGGTGCCAGGGATGGGGCTTGGGCTGGTGGCATGTGGGGCCACTGTCCTACCTACTGTTCTGTCTGTGTCCGACCCTGCTCCCCTGGGTGCACACTGCACGTGGGTCTAGCTCTTACCAGACCACAGTGACACCGGCACCTCTGCCCGAGCTGAAACGCGTGACTACCAGCCCCTGGGTGCTTCTCCATCCCTTGCTTCTCCCCTCCTTGAAAGCATCTCTCTTGAGAATGTCACCTGTTTGCTTCTGGGTCCCTGACTCTCACATCCCCCAAACCCCGCCTCTAAGGTCCTTCATCACCTCTGCAGGTGGCACAGAAGGGAGCGTGGCAGTGGGCCCTGTACCCGGGCTAAGGAGCGATGGCACCGATTAAATTCTCTTGGCACACACTCCACTAAGCCCACCCCTCCTCCTCTGGGAGTTTCTTAACCCATCTGCACAGTGTGCAAGATGCTTCCATGCCTATCATTTGATTGTACCCTTCCGGCTGCCCGAGGAGGAACTCTGGTTAGGGAGGAAGCCAGTTTGAAACAGGAGAGCTGAGGTCAGAGAGGTCCTGCCACTTGGCAAGGTGGCACTGTGTGCAGCCTCACTGCCGGCCCTGAGTCTCTGCCTGGGGTCCAGGCCCCGCTCTTCCTCCCACCCCGTGTGGAGCAGCTCAGGGTCCAACCCCAACTCTACTGGGAAGTCATTATTCGTGGTGACTCACGATGTTGTCTCACAAACCCTCTTCCGGCTTCCTCTGGGACCGCGAGTGGCCTGTTCCCAGGATGGGGAGTCTTTGGGGATGCCTCGGAGCTCAGCCACTGGCCAGGAGGCCCACTGAGGGCTTGGGGCCTGGAGGCAAGAGAGACTCTGAGGGAAGCAGCCCCAGGAACGGAACAGTTGGGCCTCAGGGAGAGCCAGGTGCGGTGGGGGTTCTCCAGCCAGAGCTGGGGGGAGGCTGGAGGAGGTGGGGAAGCTGGAAGTCTCAGGGTGCATGATGCACCTCTGTGGAGGCAGCCCAGGTGCATCCAATCACACCCTAAAATCTTCATCTTAACGTGGAAAATTGATGCATCTCAAAAACACAGGAGAGAATGCTATGATGAATGAGAATGCTGAATGAGAGAGTGAATGATACAAGATGTATCGTTAATGAACCAACGCAGAAGAATTAAAGCCTCACGGATTCCTCATTCACCTTCCTCAGTGATCAGCTCGGGGCCAATCTTCTCTCACCCAGATCACTGCTTCTCTCTGGGTTATTTTTAAGCGAGTGGTCCATTGCTTCCTTTCAGCCCTAGACGTTTTAGTGGTAGAGTTTGGGGGTTTAGTTCAGTGATTCAAGTGTTCATGTCCTGACACCACACACACACACACACAAAACACATTCGAAGGGCTGGAGTGATAACACGGCAGGTTGGCCACTTGCCTTGCAAATGCTGAATGGGTATGATCCAGAGCCCCCATGTGGCCCCCTGAGCCCTACCAGGAGTGATCCCTGAGCACAGAACCAGAAATAAGTCCTAGTAGGTGTGACTCAAAATAATAAAAGATAACTGTGTTTGAAGCTCTAAAACGTAGGCTCAAATAGAGTCAGAGAGCAAGCTTGGGGATAAGGCACTTGTTTGCACGGGGTTCATTCCTGGCCTGAGCACCACCAGGACTGATTCCTGAGCCCAGAGTCAGGAGAAAGTTCTGAGCACCCACAGGTGTGGCCCCACAATACAGCAAAGCAGAACAAAACAAAAACCCAAAAGTAGGCCTCAAACAGAACAGGGCAATCACAGTACATTATCAAACCTAACAAGACCCACACACAACTAAAATATTACCCATATTCAAATGTTCTGATTGGTGTGTGTGTGTGTGTGTGTGTGTGCGCGTGTGTATGTGTGTGTGTTTGTGTGTGTGTGTGTGTGTTTTTTTTCCCTTTATTTTATTTTATTTTTTTTAAAGTTGTAGATTTACAATTTTTTGTGCTTTGGTTTCAATTATACAATGATCAGATACCCATCCCTCCACCAGTGCCCATTTTCCACCACCATGGATAATATGTGTGTGTGTTTTGTGGGTAACTGGACCACAGAGTCACCCCCCAGCTCCTGATTGTTGCATAATTTGTCAAAGAATTTCTCTGAATGAGGATCCAAACCTGGCTTCTGTTTTATTGCCTAAGAGATGAGGCAATCGGGAAGCCCAACCTGCTCACTCTCTTGAAAGAGGATACCCCAAGGGGCCACAGTGGGTGGGGCTTTTGCCTTGCACACAGCTGACCCAGGTGCCAGCCCTGGCTCTCCTCTGGTTTCTGGAAAATCACCAAGAGTAACTCCTGAGTGCAGGGTTAGGAGTGATCTCTGAGCATCGCTGGGTGCGGCCTAATCTCCGCCCTGAAGTAAATTAAAGAAAGAAGGTGTCCAGTATTTCTCCCAGTACCCCATTTTCCTCAGCCTGCCACCATTTTGCATGTTTTAAGGTTTCTGGGTCTTTCTTCCCCTCCAGCCTTGGAAATCAGTCCCTGGAGAAAGGGTTTCTTACCATCTCCCCCAATCTCATCTGGGCCCTGGAAAACCCGTTTGGCCAAGGGCTGCTGGAGGAATCGATATTTGTCTGATGGGAAGAGAAAAGAGGAGGTCGTAGGTCACAGTGGTGCTCCAGCCAGCATTGCCGGGACTGCAAAGACTTTTTTTAACAAACACTTTTTTTTTTGGGGGGGGTCATACCCAGAAATGCACAGGGGTTACTCCTGGCTCTGCACTCAGGAATTACTCCTGGCGGTGCTCGGGGGACCATATGGGATGCTGGGAATTGAACCCAGGTCAGCCGTGTGCAAGGCAAACACCCTAACTGCTGTGCTAATGCTCCAGCCCCCGCAAAGACTCTTTCGGAGCTCTCCAGCGAGAACCCCATCACCACAGGATGTTTGGAATCTGCACTCAGGCAGCCCCCACCCCCACCCCCATCCCCTGTAGAGTCCACATCATTTCCAGCAGCCTCCTGGACCCGGGGAATCTGGAGGTGTGGTTGAGGTCTTGCTGTAACCTGCCCAGCAGACTTCAGCGGGTCTGGCTCTGTCTCTCGCACTGCCCTTCCCTCCGCCCCCAGGACTGGCTGGCGTTTGGGGGGGACGGTGCCCATCTCTCGGCCCGAGGATGGCCTCACAGACATTCAGCCTCACAGACCGGTTCTGTCTCACAGAGAATCTCCACTTCCTGCTGACTCCCCTAGGCCGTGGGTCCTGCTCCCAGCGGAGCTGGGCTCCTGCAGCCACTAGAGCCCTCATTAAGTCCTCTGGACATGTCCTTCCTGGGGCCCACCCAGCACCCTGTGGGTATACTACATCCTGTGAGGACCTCATCCCCTGAACCCAATTAAGATGCGCCCCTACAGGGGAACTTCCTGGAAGAGGCGGCAGGTAAGTATCAAGACTCCCTCCAAGGTATTCAGATGCTTTCAGAGGTCAAGCCCTTGGGGCACGGAAGGCAGGGTGGAGGGAGGATGGGCAGAGTGAAGATGGGAGCGCTCAGGTTCTGGGTGTGGGTCCCTCCCAGCTGCATCAGCGCCACCTGGAACCTGTTTTAACCTGTTTTAAAAAATGCAAATTCTCAGAGTGACAGTACTGGAGGTCGGGTGCTTGCCTGGCTCGAAGCTGACCTGGGTTTGATCCACAGCGCTACATACGGTCCCTTGAACCCTGCCAGGAGTGATCCCTGAGCACAGAGCCAAAAGTAAGCCCTGAGCACCATCAGGTGTGACCCCAAAACAAACAGCATAAAAGTAAATAGCACAGCGGGTAGGGAGTTTGCCTTGCACCCAGGTTCGATTCCTCTGCCCCTCTTGGAGAGCCCGGCAAGCTACCGAGAGGATCTCGCCCGCACGGCAGAGCCTGGCAAGCTCCCCGTGACGTATTCGATATGCCAGACACAGTAACAACAAAGTCTCCAATGGAGACGTTACTGGGCCCGCTCGAGCAAATTGATGAACAACGGGAGGACCGTGACCATGACCGTGATGCTCCATCCAAGGAACCAGAAACTCAGTTGTCACGTACTCATTGTTTATTTCTGGGCCACACGGAGCAGCACTCAGGGATGACCCCAACAGTGCTCAGGAGGCCATTAGTGGTGCTCCAGCCCATCCCTCCCCTCTGAGAAGCATGGAACTGCAGGAGGAGGAGGAGCACCCAGGGAGTCGCGGGTCCCAGCCTCACTCTTGTCTTCATCCTCATGGGGCTTCGGGTAAGACTGTGTGTGTATGTGTAAGTGCATTTTAGAGTGTGTGTGTGCACACGTGTGTGTGCATATGTGTGTGTTAGAGTGTGAATGCGAGTGTGAGTGTGTGAGAGTGTATGTATGTGTGTGACTACGTGGATATGTGTGAGAGTTTGAGAGAGTGTGTGCGTGCTCTCAAAATTCCCTGCAGGAGGGGCTGGAGTGATAGCACAGCGGGTAGGGCGTTTGTCTTGCACGCAGCCGACCCGGGTTCAATTCCCAGCATCCCATAT